ATTATTATTATTATTATTATTATTATTATTATTATTATTATTATTATAGGACTAAATCACAAATGCACTGTTTGATTCAAGACAATTAGAAAGAAACTCAATCTATTCGTCCTCATTTTAAGACACCTATAACACCTCCCTGATGGTAACCGTTCGAAATACAAATGTCCGGGATGAGAATGGCCTATGTAAGAGAGAAAATTATTCTATGCTTTGCGGGCACGAGGATGCCATCCTAGGGGCAGGTCAAGCAGTCGTGGGCCTCAGAGGACAATGCCCGGCGTGCCTTCCCCTCCTAGCCACCTCCAGAGGGAAGACCAGGGGCCTGAGTCCTGCAGCAATGCCTGCAAAGAACCAGACCTGGCACTGCGAAAGTCTCCTGTCCTCATGGTGGTCGGCTCTTCCCCCCACTCCTGCCTCCCCCCGGCGCACCCCAGCTTCACTTTCTGCAAGCAGGGATAGGAGAGCCGGAGTTTGCACCCTTAGCAATGCCTGCCCTTCCACCTCCGCTCCTGCAGACCTTGAGTTACCCCTCCCCCACCCACCACCTCTGAGTAAATTATGTTTTAATGGTGTCCTTTTCTTCAAGAGGATTTTCTGCCCGGCGGAGAGAGCCGAGAGCCGTCGGCCCCGTTCTCCGCAGTGGGAGCCCTCCCTCTTTAATTGAAACCTAATTGTTTACTAAACCGCTTGAACCAAAAAAAAAAGGGAAAATTACTATAATTTGGGTCTGTGGATGATTCCTTTCTCCCTGGCTGTTTTTTTTTTTTAAAGAAAAGAAAACAAAGAAGAAGGGAAGAAAAAAAAAACCTCTTATGGGTACTGAATTTTAAGGAGAAAAAAAGGCACGTTACCTTCCGTGATATATAAACATGCAAGTGATTATCGTTAAACTGTCCGCCAGCCGCCCAGCTACCGGCAACAAATTATACGCAAATCGTTTTGGGGGGAATCGACCGGTGGGGTTCAGTCGATGGGAGGTCAAGAGAGGAAGGGCATCAAAGCCCCAAAGCCCACCCTTCTTTCTCCCTTCCTAAGCGAGGCTGGGTGGCCACGGATTGGCTCCCAATTCCCGAAGTGGCTGCAAGGGCCAGCAGGCTGTCTGAAGACGTCCAACCTCAACCTCCTCCATCCAAGCTACGCTCTGCTGTGGATTATGGGTCTGAACGTGCAGGAGCACTCAGCAGTGTTTGGAAGGGGGAGCCAGGCTCTCCAATCAGTGGGCCAGGGACCACTGGTGGTCCGCGAGAAAATTTTGGTGGTCCGCAGAGAAATGTCCACCCCCCCCCAAAGCAATTAATCCAGGCTGCGCGGGAACACAAGGCTTGCGTCGCTTGCATTGCGAACAACACAAGGTAGTGAGGGGAGGGAGAAGGGCGGAGGGGGGTAACTTGCCCCACTCGCCCCACGCGCCTGGCCTGGCCACGGGGCTGCTTCTTTCCGCTTCTTTCTTCTTCTGCTTTTGGTGCATGCAAGGAAAGCAGCCAAAGTCTTTCTTTCTCTCCCCCAAACTCCGCCAGAAATGAGTCTTTGGGCCCCTGCAAGGCCTCCTGCCCCAGCACAGAGGCTGTGCTGGCCAAGACTCATTACTGACAGAGTTTAGGGGAGAGAAAGACTTCTGCAGCTTCTGCTGCTTTCCTTGCATGAAGCCAAAAGTCTCTCTCTTTCCCCCTGAGAACGGAGCTGGAGAAGGTATCCTGCGATTCCCAAATAAAGAATGATCCATTGGTAGGAAAACGGGGTAGGGAATTTTCCTGCAGACTTTTTTTGAATATTTTCTCAAGGTTTCTGGTCTGCAGGATTTAAAATTATGAGTGTGGTGGTCCCTGAGGTCCAAAAGGTTGGCGACCCCTGCTCCAGCTGGTATCCGAGGGACAATGGGATTTGTATTCCAGGCTGGTGAGGCTTCCAGCCTTTTTTGGCCTCCCTTGGGCCTCAGTTTACCCTTTGCTCCGAACTCTAAGTGGGCGGGCAGGTTTTAGATCTGGCTTTGCACCCTCGTTCTGTTCAGGTTGAGGGTTAAGCACATCCGGGCCGATCCGGGTGGTGACTTTTCCTCCAGAAGGAGCAGTTTAGTGCTGTCCTTTGCCTCTTGTGGCAGTGAGTTCCAGGGGAGGGAAGAGTCCTGATTCCTCCATGTCACCCAGCACCCTACAGTCCTGATCCCAGACACCTCGGGGCCCTCCTTCCCTCCTCCGTTCCTGCCCCTTTGCCAACCCTGCGGCTCCCTCTCCGTTGTGATGATCAGCCGCCTGCTGTGCCCGTCCTTCAGCCTCCTTTCCAGCGCCAGGCCGTGCCCGCTGCTGCCAGACTGCCTCCTCTCCCTGCCACCTCAACAGCAGCCGCTGGAGCAGCCAGGGAGGTGACATTGATTTCCACCCGCTCTTTCCAACTTCCGTTGCCATGGTGACTGGATTTCGTTTCTCCGCTATGCCGGGGCCTTTTTCTCCAGTTTGGCACGTTCTGAAAAACGGACGAACTGGTCAGGGAGCAAAAGGGTCAAGGGTGGCATTGTATTGGGCACTTTGGCCCCCGCAGGCTGCGGAGGACCCGGGAAAGGGGCTTGCGCGGTGGAGAAGCTGCCTGGGCGGCTCCTGCGGCCAAAGTCCCTGACAAGTTTTGATCGAGAAGCCTTTTCGAAAAAGAAAGACACCTAAGAATTCCGTTGTACGACCATTCTGGACGCTCAAAATGCCTGCAATGCTGTGGGCTTGGTGGGGCTTACCCTGGAGGGGAGAGCAGAGCCTGCCAGCCATCTCTCACACACACACACACACACACACACACACACACACACAGACCACTCTGAAATCCTGCACTGAGTAGGGGAGGCGCTAGTGGCATGTCCCACCCGCCCTTTCCAGGATGGGGCGCTGTAAGGATGCATGTCAGGAAACGAAACCTTTTCCTGTTCAGTGGGGAAAATGGGACTCTGTGTGTGTGTGTGTGTGTGTGTGTCTGCCAAGGAGAGTGCAGCATTCTAATTTGTGGCAGCGGCTTGTTCGATTTTTAAGCAATGCGATTATCTGGCAGCCTTAACAGAGGTTAAATTATTTCTGCTTCCTCACTTCCCCAATCAGAGGGAAGAGGACGATGGGAAGCCAGGAGAGCATCACATCAGAAGGCTGTTGAGAGCTCTAAGACAGGGGTCGCCAACCAGTGGACTGGGGACCACCGGTGGTCCACGAGAAAATTTTGGTGGTCCACAGAGAAATGTCACCCCCAAAGCAATTAATCCAGGCTGTGCGGGAACACAAGGCTTGTGTTGCTTGCATTGCGAACAACATGAGGTAGTGAGGGGAGGGGGAGAAGGGCGGAGGGGGGGAACTTGCCCCACTCACCCCACGCACCTTGCCTGGCCATGGGGCTGCTTCTTTCTGCTTCTTTCTTCTTCTGCTTTTGGCAGCACGCAAGGAAAGCAGCCAAAGTCTTTCTTTCTCTCCCCCAAACTCCCCCAGAAATGAGTCTTTGGGACCCTGCAAGGCTCCAAGAGTCTGCACCTGCGTGACAAGTCTCACAAAGACTCATTTCTGGTGGAGTTTGGGGGAGAGAAAGAAAGACTTCTGCTGCTTCTGCTGCTTTCCTTGCATGAAGCCAAAAGTTTCTCCCTCTCTCTCTCTCGCCCTGAGAACGGAGCTGGAGATGGTATCCTGCGATCCCAAATAAAGAACGATCGATCGGTAGGAAAACAGGGTGGGGAATTTTCCTGCAGACTTTTGGGGGGATTGTCCCAGGGTCTCTAGTCCACAGGATTTAAAATTATGAGTGTGGTGGTCCCTGAGGTCCAAAAAGTTGGCAACCCCTGCTCTAAGAGATCATCTAAACCAGCCCCTACTGTGTGCAAGATTCCCTCAAGGGCCTCTGAAGGGTGACCCTCCAGCCATGTCTCAATGAAGCCCAGCCTGAACTGCCTTTTCTTGCATTCTGCGGAAAGGTCGGCATGTATTCTTCATCAAGTTTCTAGCCCTTGCTGAAACGGACAGAGGTTTTTGCAAGGAAATGCTCGAGAGCTTCCACGCCTCCCTTCCAGAGATTCCCCCAACATTCCCACCACTTTTATCAGCAGCCGGACTCCAGCAGTGGGCATTTCTTCCAGCCCTACCACAAGAGAAACCCTCATCCCTGTCCGAAGATGCCTTCCGAGGAGGGCAAGCAAAACTGGGCTGCTAGTGGCCTTCCCTGAACGTGTGTGTGTGTGTGTGGCCACTTGCCAGTTGCTGAGACAACTCACCACCCCAGAGGGATGCCAGCCGGCCTTTGGAAAAGTGTGAGACGAGGATGGCACGGCAGCGATCCATCGCTGATCAGGAGGGCGCGAACACCAGGCCGCTTGTGCCTGATGAAAAGGGGCTAGCAAGATTTATAGGAAGGCGAATAAATTCCTGTCAGCCGGCGATGATTATCTGCTCTGCTCTCCAAAGATTCCCGTCTTTCTCCCGCACACGTTGTCTGGGGTTTCAGATGCTTGCTTTTGATTGGGATCTACTGCTCTCTGTTGGGAAATAAATCTCGTGCGTTTTCTGCCAGGCACCGGAGAAGCTTCAACATGAAAATTTCTAGATTGATTTGGGAAAGGCTCCAAGCCTCTCTCTCTTTTTTTTTTTTCTCCTCCATCTCTGGGTCCATCGGTGAAGCGCGTTCTCCAAAGCCTTGCTGGTTTGTCTGGGCAGCTTCCCAGCCACGCTGAGCGCCGTTTACCCACATGCGATTGCTGTGGGGCTGGAGAAGGGCTGCAAGGCGAGATGGCACATTTGGGAGAGGGGACAAAAAGGGAAGGCCGGTTTGCTTTGAGGTAAGAGAGGATCCCCCCAGGGTTCTCCCCTCTTTGGACCAGCGGAGGGTTGGCATTGTTGGGTAGGGAACAGAGGAGCAAGGATGCCCAAGGTGCATCCAGCCTGGTACCTTAATGGATAAGAGCTGAGAATCTCAGCACTCCAGTTAACCCTGGTACACTGTCTCTAACCATGGAGGCTCCAATGCCCAGCCCTGGCTCACTTCTTAGGAGAGGGAGCTTCAGCCTGGGGGATTTGTGGGCCGTCAGGCTGGCGCCTCTGGCCCCTAGGCCAGGGGTCACCAACGTTTTGGACCTCAGGGACCACCGAACTCATAATTTTAAATCCCATGGACCAGAGAACCTGGGAAAATCCCCCCAAAAGTCTGCAGGAAAGTTCTCTACCCCGTTTTCCTACCGATTGATCATTCTTTATTGGGGATCACATGATACTATCTCCAGCTCCCTTCTCAGGGGGAGAGAGAAAGGGAGAGACTTTTGGCTTCGTGCAAGGAAAGCAGCAGAAGCAGCAGAAGTCTTTCTTTCTCTCCCCCAAACTCCGTCAGAAATGAGTCTCTGCTGGTGCAGCCTCTTGGAGCGGGAGGCCTTGCAGGGTCCCAAAGACTCATTTCTGGGTGAGTTTGGGGAAGAGAAAGAAAGACTTTGGCTGCTTTCCTTGTGTGCAGCCAAAAGCAGAAGAAGAAAGAAGCGAAAAGAAGCAGCCTGGTGGCCAAGCCAGGCGTGTGGGGCAAGTGGGGCAAGTCCCCCCCCCCTCCGCCCTTTCCCCTCTCCCCTCAGTACCGTGTGTTTTTTGCAATGCAAGCGACGCAAGCCTTGTGTTCCCGTGGGCCATCCAGATGGCACAGCCTTGTGTTCCCGCGCAGCCTGGATTAATTGCTTTGGGGGGGAGACATTTCTCTGAGGACCACCAAAATTTTCTCGCGGACCACCAGTGGTCCCCGGCCCTCTGGTTGGCGACCACTGCCCTAGGCCAGCCTTTCCTGCTGGTGAGAAACCTTCACCGTCAGGGGGCCTGGATGGGGCGTGCGTAAGAGGGTCACGGACTTCATCTCAGCCATTAAAGGGGTCGGGTCAGAACAAGGGGAGGTGGGCTCTCTGAGGCTGGTGGCCAGGAGTGCTGATGCCGAGCAAAGCCCCTCCCTGCCTCCCCTTAACCACATCCTTCTCCCACCAGGCAGGGCCGGTGTATAATTTTCTAAGGCATCTGTAGCCATGGTGATAAGGAAGGTATAATTACCTCCACTGGGAAAGGCAGGTAGATAACGGGAAATATTTTGGCCTTCCTCTGGTGAACAATAACATGGAGCTGGGGGGGAGGGCTGGCGTTTGCAGCATCTCCCGTGCCGTTTTGATTTATCCTCCGACCAAACTGAGGGCACCTGCCAGGATTCCCCTTTCTGTCCTGGGAGGGCATACATGGGCACCCTTTTGAGGCAGGTGTGCCAGGCGATGCCCTCTGCCACGACTCTGGGGTGGGCAGGCCTTGGAGAGAGGGTCCTTTTGGGCAGCCCCTGGTTTGTCTCCAAGCTACGAGGGGCTTGGGGCTGGCAGCCTTCCCTCTTCCTTGCACACCCAACTGTGCCACTGCCCTGATGCCTTGCTGGCTGCAGACCAGGTGAGGCAGCTGCACAGCATGCCAGGACAAGGGGAGGGGGTGGATCGGTGGGCCCTTCACCTCCAGCCAGTGGCTTTGAGCAAGGGAAGGGGTGACTTTGCTGGGGGACAAAAGTGCGCCCGTCTCCCAGGCCCAAAACCAGCCAGGCACCAGGCAGTGCCCAGACTGGACACAGGAGGGCAGATGCCAGAAGCCTCACCCATCCTCTCGCTTCTCTTTCCCCTTCTGAACTTTGGAGTGCGGGGGGGGTCATTTCAGGGACTCCGCTTGGTCCTCCAGACATTTAGGGGCTGGGGGGCGGCCTGCCTTTCCTCAGCCTCCTGGCCAACAGAGCTGCCAGGCTCTGTCTCATCCGGAGGCACAGGAGGGCTGCGGCTGCACCGGGAACTGGGTGATTCAACAGGCGAGACCCATTGCCAGCCCCGGATCGAGTTCTTGACCTGGAACAAACTGGCTTTTCTCGGTTGTCCAGAACAGGGCTGGGGATGATGGTGTTGATGGTGATGATTGATCTAGTTTCTAGGCCGCCTGACTCTTGGCCACTGTGGCCAGTTTGCAAACGATATTTTTTTTAAGAACCGGAGAGGGAGGGAAACTTGAGTAGACATGGCAGGAAAAAACAGGGTGGAAAAGAAACAAAATTTGGGTTAAAAGGAGGGTCCGGGCGCCAGGGATGGAGGGCTCCGGATCGAAAGCTGCCCAAGATTTTTGGTGCATGGACAAAACGCTCCAGAGCATCCCGCCAAAAATCGCAGCCCAGGATTATGGTCCATGTTGCACCTTCAGGGTTGGGAGAAGGATGCCGGTGCAAAAGAGGGGTGCAGAGTAGGAGGCAAGAGGGCTGCCAAGAGGACCCTGGACTCTCTTTGGAGGGGTCCCCACGATGGGCCAGACTTTCTGGGCGCTGCTGGGGGGGGGGGGGGGGGCAAAGAGTCCCAGGCGTCCTGCAGGGGGATGGGGGGGGGGGGGGAGAGACCCCTTCCCAGCCAGAGCCCCCGCCCCGTGCTGATGTGCCAGCCGTTGCAACACGCTCGTCTTGCAGCGCTGCGATTCCTTTTTTTTTTTTTCCTCCCCCCACCCTCCTTGCGAGCGGGTGGTTGCCAAGGCAACCAAGGCTTCGGGGAGTCTCGCGCCGACGTCGCACCGCCGCCCGGCTCACTCGCCTGCCGGATGCTGGGCGTCTCTCTGCACCGGGCGCCGCCGTCGCCTCCTCCTCCTCCTCCTCCTCTTCTTCCTCCCCGCCGTCCCGCCCGGTAACGCCCGTCTGCCTCTCCCCGCAGGGCTTCCTCAGCCGGCAGCTGAAGGGCTCCATCAAGCGCACCAAGAGCCAGTCCAAGCTCGACCGGCACAGCAGCTTCCGCCACGTCCTCCCGGGCTTCAGGAACGCCGCGGACCATGAGAGGTGAGAGCCCGGGGGGAGGTGGGGGGGGGGGGGGGAGGGCGGCGCCGGAGGGGAGGGGAAGGGGGTTCGCCCTCGGGAGGGGAAGGGGAAGAGCGGAGCGAGCGACTGCGGGTCTTTTGCATGGAGGGGGCGCCCGAGACACCCCCCCACACACACACACACACGCCCCGCTTGCACGCTTGCAGCCAGTGGCCAGAAGCGCAATGGTGCAGGGAATCGGGGCGCGCGGGCTGCTTCCCCCTCGGCGTGATTTGGGGCTTTGGGGGAGCCCTGTCCGCGCCCAGAAGGACGTGGACTCTCCCTTGCCCGAGAAGGGCGTTTGGTGGCTTCCTGGATTTTGCAGAGTCGGGGGCTGGAGAGGCTATTTCTCCGGTGCCATTGGAGCCTCCACCCTCCCCACACCGCAACTGAGCGGGGCGGGGGTGGGGGGCGCAGGAGACCCGCCGAGCAAGGGGGCGGGGGGGCTCGGGGCAGCCTGGAGCCGTGTGGAGCAGAGGCGCGTGGCCGTGGATTCTTCCGTGGCGATGCGAGGGGGCCACACCCCTCCCGAGTCTGAAGGAAATCTCGGCTGGCGTTTTTGGTGCGCGCGCTCCGGGTTGGTAACGGGTGACCTAATTTTCTGATGTCGGTGAAAATGGGGAGGAGGGGGGGGGGGGCAACCTAAGCCCGGGGGCTACGGGGCAGAAAGGCGGGGGGGGAGGGGGGGGCGGCCCCCCCCCCCCCCCCCGCCTCCCCTTCCCCACTGCAGTGATCGCCTTCCAGCTGGGGACACATCTGCCCAACCCCTTTCTTCCTTTTTCCTCTTGAGGCACTGGCTGAGCTGGGCATTTATTTATTTTTCACCTGTGGTGGGCACATCCTACAAGGTGGCACAGGGTTAAAAAAAGAAAAAAAAAGAAAGAACTGTGCCTGCTTTTGCGAGTTGAGGGGGGGGCTCCCTTCTCCCCCCCACCCCCAGCCACTGTGGCCTCCTGCCTCCCCCTCCAGAGACCGAGGGTGGCCCAGCGGGCAGGGTGTTCTTAAACCAGCATCTAGGCAGTGACTGTGCGCAAACCGAGATCTCTTGGCCCCGCGTTGGGATGGTGAAATAGAAGCCGCTGCCGTGGGGTGCAAACCAGAAGGCCGTAGGGAGGGTGACGGCAAGGGGGGAGGGCAGGGAGGGGGGGGTCTCCTTGGGGTGACACAATCCCCTCATTGTAATTCCATCTTTCTTTAAAAGGAAGGGAGGATTTGGACAGGCGAGGCTAACAAGTTGGATACCTGAAGGTGCCCAAACTGGCCCATTCAGTTTCTTGGTGGTTCTGCCCCGGAGGGGGGGAGGGAGGGTTTGGTTTTCGTGGCCCTGGTCTTTCTCCCCCTCCCCCTCTTTACTTCCTGTTTACCGTCCAGCCAGCAATGATGGCCTGTTTGCCTGGACCACGCCCCTGACGGATAGCTCCTTTCATCCTTGGCAAAAGCGGCCCCAACTGGGGTCGGCGAGGCAGATGCCTGCCACGCAAGCTCTCTTCAGAGGGGAGGTCTCCCTCCCCTCCCCCCTCCATTGCTCTCCCCCCCCCTCTTGGCCACCTTCTGCTTTTGCCCCCTCCCCATCCTTTCCAAGGCTGCTGGCAGACTCCATCTTGCTGAGGAGCGGGGGGGGGGGAGGCTTGAGCAACTCCTCCCCCCCAAAAGAGGTCATCTGGATCACCCTCGAACGCCCCGGGCATCAATGTCATTTTGTAACTGGGGTGTGTGTGTGGGGAGGGGGTGTACGCAAGTTTGGGCAGGGTGGGGTTACAGGTGTTGCAAAGAGAATCAGAAGGTCTGAAGCCAGCCGGGTTGCGTGGGTTGGTTTGTTGAACTTGACAATATATGTTGGTGTGGCCTCCTTTTCAACTCAACACCTCCCAGGTGGATTATCAGGCTTGGCGGGCAGACCTTGGGGGTCCAGTCATTCTCTATCCTCTAGGCAAGAGGAGCGGGTGGGTTGGAGCTCAGCCAGGGGGCTGTTTGTAGGTCTGATGCTTGGCTTCTTTGAGGTGTGTGTCTGTGTGTGTGTGTGACTGGGCAGCCTGTTAGGTTTTTGTAGCAGTTGGAGGGGGATGCTTGGCCAGCCGGCCCCCTCCCCAGTCAATCCATGGGGCTCTTGCGGGGCTCATGAAGGGTGACCAGAGGGGTCTTTAACCAAAGCTGCTTGTTAACAAGCCTCCCCCGTGGGTGACTTTGGCCATGGACGGCTGGCGCTGAGTCCTTATCCCAGGCATCTGACAGCTGTTCGGCTTCTTGGCATCAGCTGTGGACCAAGGTCCCTGGGAAGGAACGGGGGTCTTAATTGGGAGTTTTTGCAAGAGAGATGCTTTTACCCCACCCCCACCCCACCCACCCATTGAACCCAGAGTGAGCTCCGATCCTCCCCTCCCCATAAGTCCATTCATTCCTGCCACCTTTTCCTTCCAAAGGATTGTGCCAGAGTGACATATTTGGGGGAGGTAAGCCCACAAGTCTTACACTTGCCAAGTTTGAAGACCCTTGGCCTAGGGTGAAGAGGAGAGCAAAGGAAAACAATAAGCCGGACCTCAAGGAAAAGCAGATGTGGATGTAGCTCAGGAATTCTGGGAGTTGGAGTCCACAAGTCTTAAACTTGCCAAGTTTGAAGACCCTTGTGATAGATGATGGTTGGATGGATGGATGGATGGATGGATGGATGGATGGAGATAGATAGATAGATAGATAGATAGATAGATAGATAGATAGATAGATAGATAGATAGATAGATAGATAGATAGA